ATGTATATATATATATATATATATATGTATGTATATATGTATGTATGTATATATACTGAACCTCTAAGCCATACTTTTGATATGATTTTCCTTAAACAATCACTGCATCAAAATATCAAAGTAAGTCCCATCTGATGTCTCTATTTACAAATCCCGCAAACTTTATTTTTGCTACTGAAATTTCATCAACTCTATTTACAAATCCCGCAAACTTTATCCCTCTCAGATGTTCCAATTTTGTATATTTACTTGCTTGTGTTAAACTTGATTTGGTCTCCAGAGTTGAATAACTTGTAGAATCATTCTACATTCAAACAGTGACAGAAAAAAAGAGAGTCAGAAATTGAAGTTTAGACTATAGCAAAACAAGAGCTTTAATTGATTTCAATACGAATCTACCGTCACAAAAAGTTGCTCCAAGGCAGGGCATAATTTCAAAAAGCAGACCAAGGCATCGATGCTGTTTTCAGCCTTATAATTGTGAATCCACCATAGCTTTCGTATCTTATAGAATATGAAGTTCCCAGTTGGAGAAATCGATGGTCATACCAATGTCTACAAGAAAAAAGAAAACTTTCAGAGTCATAGGTTGTGTATACTAAAGATGTAATATCCTAAATTCATGAACTGCTGCATTATAATACACTGCTAAATTCACTTGATAATTTTGTTAAACCAGCAATAGTTCATGGTAAGTAACACATGCATACCTCAAAAGTCCACTCACACAGAGTTAGAGTTTCACAATTCTTTATTGTTAACAGAGTCTGATTGAAATCTCGAGCCTTAAAGTCAGAACAATTTGGTCCTTGTCTAAAATCAAGCATGGCATGGCTCAGGTTGAAATGAGATTCTGGCCAAATCCTTGGAAGAGGTCCACTGTATGTTAAATTTTTAAGCTTAGAAGTTCTAAGATGGAGAAACTTCAACCGGGGGCAATCTAATACGGTTAACTTCTGAAGCTTTGATTCAGATTCAATGGACAAAGACTGCAAGCCAGTGCACTCAACAATCACCAACTTCTCAAGCTGCTCCAAACTTGAAACGATGGAGGAAACCACCGAACTTGCCAAGTGACTCACCGCTTTCAAATAGAGAGTTTTGACAATGAAAGTGGGGTGGAAAGTGTGGTGTGTGATGTGATCCTTGTTGAGAATGAAGTGAAGTTCATAGTTTCTCTCAAGGTGTTTGTTCCCAGCAGGGAAATCAAGAAGAAGCTTGTTGTCAGCTGCAATGGATGCAAAGAGTGCAGTGTGTTGAGCAGAGTGAAATTGAAGCTTGCGTGGATGTTTTAGTGGATCATGGTCTTCAAAACGAGCCAGAAATTGAACAACAGCAGCTGCTACATCTTGTGTGGTTCCATGTCTGACAAGAACTTGGTTCCACAAGTCTCTCCACCTAATGGATATGAGGCTGGTTTGTAGCATTGATTCATTTGGCAGAAAAGAAACTATGGATCTTAGAACTTCATCTGGCAAATTGCTGAACAAATCCTCCATGAGAAGGGAAAGTTGAAAGATAAGAAAACTTAGAATTCATGTGTTCAAACTGACGCAGCGTTCTTGTTTTGGTGTTTATTTTTGGGTTGTATTCAGTTCTTAGGACCATCATCTCTATATGTGTTTAACCTTATTTCATATTTCACTATCTTAATTAATTTATGGGACTGAAATGGATTTGAAGGTGTGGATGTGCTTATTTCACAACCTCATACTCTCTTTGTTCTTTTCAACTTTTTTTTTAGTCTCTTATAAAGATATTATATTCATTCATCTTTTTCTATTATTTTTTAACTGTGTTTTAATTGTTAAAAATTAATTACATAATCCACTAAAAGATACCACTTAAACCTACACGGTTAAATAAATATATATATTTTCTTTTTTTATTTTATAAAATATCCATCATGTAAGGATAAAATGCATATATAAATGTATTACTCTAAAACCAATTACCCAAAATAATTTTAGGTTTTGAATTTTATATTCATAGATCTGGTATTCCTCTTCCAACGGCGTGCGTGCAGTGCATTATGTGGTCTTCTTTCAAGTGGCAGCATGTGAATTTATAAAATGTTGAAAAGTGAGGAGAGATTTAGAAAAAAATAATCTCTCTGATATTCAATAAAAGAAATAAGATATTTATTTATTAAAAAATAAGTATAAGTTTTAGTATTTAGAGCTTAAGACTTATGTATGGTTTAAATAAGGAATTTGTCTGTTGTACACCATTAAAAAAACATTTAATGACTGTTTAAAAAAAGTAAAATTATCAAAATTTTAATAATAGATGTTCTTGCACAGTATGAAATAGTTGGGTAGGATATATATAATTTTTTTTTATAATATACTTTGGGTTTGCTAAAATATTTTCAAGAATAAAAAAGAACATTGATGCCCGAGTATGAATCATAATCACGTGGCAAGAGACATGCAGTGAAAGCTGAATCATGTTATTTATTTTTGTTAATTGATTATTGTGTTCTTAATTATTTAATCATAGTTTTGAAAAGGCTAAACATACTTTAATCGTAAATTTGAAATAGCTTAAGTATTACAAGACATGTGTAAGAAGTAATTATCGAATTAATGCAAGTATTTATTTTCCATCTTTTTCAATTTGGTTTAAAATTCATGAAGAAACTAAATGGACCTTTATAAGTGGAATGTCCTTTTCATCCACATAAGAATTTTGAGTATATAACTACAACATTGAATTTGAGCCTTATGAGTTTTTTTGATGAATTTTGAGTGTTTCATCTTACACCTCCAACATCTCATTTAATTATGCACCTTCAAAAATTTCATTTTTAATCTTCTAATATCAGCACCTTCAACTTTTTTAAAAATTTTATTTTTTAATAAATATATTTTTATTTTCTTCTCTTTTTTATTAAAGAAACTTTAATAAATATTTTTTTATTTTTTTCTCTTTTTTATTAAAGTCCCTCTGCACCATCTTAATAATAATCAAATTTAATTTAAAATTTAAATATTATTTAATATGATTTTATATTTTAATAATAATTAAAATATGATTTATATCATAATAATAGTTATATTAAATAAATAAAAATCAAATAACTAAAACAAAAGTAATAATGAAAAAAATAAAAAATAAAATAATAATAACAATAATATAAAATTTGATTTAATATATTCAAATATATTAAATTATATTAAAATATTACAATAAATTAAACAATTATTAAATTTTAAATAAAAACAAAATTTTTAAAAACTCATTTATTGGATACCCTAAAATATGTTAATAGTTTTTTATTTAAAATTTAATAAATATTTAATTTAATTAAAAATAATAATATTATTTATTATATTTTTCTAATTTAATAATTATTAAAATATTATTTATATTTTATAATAATTTTATTAAAAAAGTAAAATAAAATAATTAAAGTAAAAATAATAATAATGAAAATAAAAATAGTATACAAAATCACATTAAAATATTTAAATATATTATAATATATTAAAATATTAATTTAATTAAATAATTATTAAAATTAAATAAAAAATAAATTTAAAATTTGTTGATCGGATATAAAATTCGATAATATATGAATCGGATATGGATATCCGATTAAGAATTTTTTAAAATTTTGTTTTTTATTTAATTTTAATATATGAAATGTGATTTTAAATATTATTTTTATTTGTATTATTATTATTATTATTATTTTTTAATAATTTTAATAAAATTATTATAAAAATATATATTATATTTTAATAATTATTAAAATATAAAAATGTAATAAATAATATTATAATTTTCAATTAAATTAAATATTTATTAAATTTTAAATAAAAAAAACTGTTGGCATATTTAAAAATTTTTGTTTCTATTTAAAATTTAATAATTGTTTAATTTATTTTAATATTTTAATATACTTTAATATATATTAATATATCAAATCAAATTTTATATTATTATTATTATTATTATTTCATTTATTTATTTATTATTATTATTTTAATTATTTTATTTTTATTTTTTTAATATAACTGTTATTATAATATAAATCATATTTTAATAATTATTAAAATATAAAATTATATTAAATAATATTTAAATTTTAAATTAAATTATATTATTATTAAGGTGGTGTAGAGTGACTTTAATAAGAAAAAGAAAAAAAGAAAAAAATATTTATTGAAGTGCTTTTAATAGGAGAGAAGAAAATAACAATATATTTATTAAAAATAAAATTTTTAGAAAAGTTGAAGGTACAGATGTTAAAAGGTTAAAAATAAAATTTTTGGAGGTGTAGAATAAAACACTTCCAACCACGATGTTAGCAACCACAACAAACCCAATTACCAACAGTGAAACAAGATTCTCTCCCTCCCCCTAAGGGTGAATTAATTAATTAGTACAATTTGTTCTCATCGTGAATAAAATTAATTGAACTGTAATAATTTATTAAAAATTAAATTAAACTAAAAAATAGTTTGTGTAAACTGAAAATTAGTTCAAACATTTATAAATTAATGCTTGACTTTAAAATTGTGGTCCAATTATAAAATTACGATAATTTTTTTGACTTTTTAATATTGTTTAATGTCTATTCAAATGAATAGGTTCACCTTTCTTCTTGCATATTATTAAAGTCACTCTCAATTATCACACCACTAAAGATATCATATCTAAAATAAAGGACCAACTTGCATAAAATGTTTCAATTGGCATTAAATAATAATTTCTTATCATTATAATTATTCGTGACAAATTTGTTATAATTAATATTTTCAATATGTAAGAAACTTCTAATTGATAGTGAATTTTAAAAAAATAATTAAATAAAAAATATTAAATAATGGATCCGTTGATAAGAGTTGTGTTTATATATATATATATATTGGTATTCTTCACACTTTCTTTCTATTCTTTTTCTTTTATATGAAAATTTATCTTTGACTGTAAAAGAGTAATCTTGTTACAAGTTCTAAAAAATATTGACAATGTTTGCAATAGAAAAAAGGAGGTGAAAATAGCAACAGCCAAAAATTTACCCTGTTCTTGATCATGACCATTTATGGGCCAGCCCACCCACCCTACTTTAACTAACTCTAAATAAACAATTATCCCAAGGCTATTTCTTGAACCCTCTCATAATTACTAATTGCAACTCTATAATAACAGAAAAAGACTCACATTTTTTCACAATTGCACCATACTATTGTTTTTGTTGCCACTGTTTTTATCATCACTGCTACTGTAAAGAAAGAATAGAGGAAGAAGAAGATAGGAAAAATGCTTAAAAGAGTGAAAACGTGTAAAAAAAAAACTTGAAATTTGAGGGACACGGGAACTATGGAGGTGCAAGAAGTAAAAGTGGTTGTTCCATTGTGGCATTGCGGGCATTATCCATTGAGAGATGTTTAGAGAAAAGGAGAGAGAAAATGCTTGGTTGTGATATAAGGTCAGAAGCATAAATTCTATCATACTGCATACACTATCTCAGAAGTGAAGCTCTAAACCACTGTGAAGTATGGTACTTTCTTCATGCTCTTTGACTTGGATATCACCCTCATTCTCCCCAAAGGTCTGTCACACTAATTCTTTCTATTCATAAACACAACATTCTCTACACAAAACTCATGTTCATGCACTCTACTTTCCACTGTTTCAGCTAAACTTGCCACATTCCAACTATTTGCCTCGCAATACTGCAATTTCGTCTTCCAACAACACTGCCTTTTGTGCATTGGAGACAATATCCAGTGGAGAAAGTAAGAACCTTGAACTATTTTCTAGTGTTTCGACCATACCCAATTGTCTCATATAAGAAGTAGAAGTCTAAAGCAGTTTAAATATTCATTTTCTTTTCATTCTCTCATGTGTCAGACTAAATCACGGACAACAACTCGTAAGGTGATTGAGTCTAAAGATGTTGAAAAAACTTATGGAATGTCTTGTGTGATTTTCAGGCCACTGCCAGAGAAGACCGCTATTGCTGGGAGTTGGAGCTTTAACTGCAAATTTACAACTGACAAATTTGGTATTTGCTCAAGGTATTCACGCCTGCTAATGTGATCATATTTTGTGTTATTAAGTTTCATTTCACTAAAAGGATCTTTTGATAAACCGAGAGACTAGTCATGACATGGTCTTCTGAAATTTTGGAATTGCATTACTCTTCGTCCTGTAGAAAAACCAGACAGATACCAAGCTTTTGTGGACTATGAAGATGGGTATTCTTACGTATATCCCAGAGAGTGGAAGGTAAGAAATAAGAACCACGTTAATCTTATCAGAAACTCTGGTCACAACCATATAATTTTCTGCAAGTTTGAATGTCTCATCTCCCTAGGAATTTGACTTTTTGGCTCATGATTCTGCCTTCAAAGACAAAGTCCTACAGTTGCAGAATGTAAGGGTGAGATTTATACCAACAGAGAAGAAAGACATCCGAGATTTGGGTCCTATGGAAGAGGTGATGCTGGAAAACTGTGTTCTGATGTTTTTTGTAAACTCTGCAGTCTACTTTGTACTAAACCAGTTTGTATCTGAATCAGGTAGTATACTATTTGGTGAAGCATAGATATGCTGCACCAAACCAAAGACCAACAATAAATGGCATGGAGGAGGTTTCTTCTTTCTAAATTTCTTGACAATGTTTTTTTGTATTAAATATGTGTCTAAGATTTTGATGGTCATTAATGAATTAACAACTATTTTTGACTTGTGAATGCAGCGAACCATAGATGGAAAACATTACTATACCTTTGAATACATACTTACATCACCAAACTATGCTAGTGGCTCCTTTGCAACAATTGCCATAGGAAATGGTGAGTAACCTGCCATGGCAGCTATGTGAATTTGTGACCTCCATAGGGTTATATACCTTACAAAGAAGGTGCACCTTTTGCAGGAAGGTACTACACGTTAATTGTGGGAGCCAACGAAAGGCGATGGAAAAGAGTACGAGATGAGCTTAAAGTGGTAGCAGAGTCTTTTAGGCTTCTTGACATATAAAGTGTCACGGGACAATTCAACCAAGACTTGTTTAAATATGCCTACAGTTTTCAAATATTTGTATATCAGTAAATATAAATGTTTATGGGTCAATGAGGTCTTCTACCACACCAATACTAATTGTATTCTTTATAGCATTGATTAATACCAACGACACGATAACGGAGCGTAGGACACGTGTTATGTGGTGTGCAAACAGACCTAATTTGTTCCTGCTCTCTATTTTATAATTAGGATTTAGGAGTAAAAATTATGTTGTTTTTTAAAATAAAAACTACATTATCGTAATCTCTGAATTTTAGGAATTGGAATTGACTGGTTCAAATATATTTGTGAAGGTTGTTAGAAATTCTTACGGTATAATAAACATTACGTACAGAAAAACAAGGAGAAAAGACTTCATCTTCCTTGTTAAAATTCTGCTACTCGAATATAAACATTGCGAAAGATTCATGTTCAATAGTTTTAAGTATCTTTCCCTATATAATATCGAGCCAGAGGATTTGCTGCCGGAAGAACGTATCGTAATTTAAAGTAGAGCGGAGACATTTTCTTTGTGAACAAAAGGTGCGCTTCAATCTAGACTTTTTCTGAATCTTTCTTTTTAATATATTCTTCATCTTTTGTGCTTATTTGATGGCTATAATAATTATGCATTGTTCGCAATTGTTTTTTCTTCGAGGAATTGTTTCTTTTTCTTCTGTACCAATTATGTGAAACATTTTGGTATCCTCTTTTTTGGGTTTGTTTTGTATTTTTTTTATCTAGCATCGTCAGAATGACAATTTTTTTGTTACCCAGTGATCTCCTTGGGGACTGTGCCCGTTGGATCTCTTGGAAATCTTTGAGGAACGGGGAAGAAAAATCTATCCAAGTAGATTTGGGGTGCCAAATAATACGATAAAAAAAAAACTGTCAGGGAAATTATTAGACCAATTACATAGTATAACTATTAGAACAAATAAAACCATATTTAACAAATTATGGACATCACGTTGCTGGGAGAAAAGAACCTTAAATACAATTACAAAGAATCATGAGTTCTCACGAAATGTAGAACCGAAGATTGGATGTGAAGCAGTTCCTTAAAAGCTATGAAAATCTCACATGGAATAATGTAGTGTCTTTCTCCACTCATTTGTCTATTTATAAGCTCGTTAATTCAAAACAAAAATAGCAAATTAATTAAGATAAACGACTATAGCAATATCAAACTAGTTGGTAAAAATACACGTGGAAATTGGCATCTATAATTATCTAAGGACAAAAAAAACTAGAGAACTCGTGTAATTCAAGCACTAAAAGGAACTGCTTCTAAACTATGGCTATGTATATACAGAGGTTTTACAACAACACTTGAGACTGTATATTCTACAATTTTCACTAAAGTAGAAAAAATACAGGAGTGAACAAGATGACGATCCACGCTTGAGAGACTGGAAGAGTGAAAAGGAAGTCCAATAGAATAGAAGAGTAACTCGGCTGAATTAGAGTTGATGCCGCCGCCGTCCTCTCGTTGTAAAACAAAATCAATATGCCGTGGAGACAACACCTTCGGTCAGCCTATACTTCTTGCCTCCAAAAGAATACCGAATTCCAGCTTCCTGTATTCAAATCCTACACTATCCCTGCCAAAGCACCCTCTTCCTATGCCTATCAATGCCTGAGTGCTGATCCCAAACTCCCATTATTGCTACATGCAAGCCTCCACCTGACATTGGAAGATTCCATCAGGTGCTGCAATCACCAGTCATTAAACTCAAGTAGTTTATGAAACAATTCTCATGAACCAACATTAGCTGCAACTACTCACATTGCATACTCCCATTCTAAACAAGCCGATGCTGACGCAAAGCCTTACCAAAATGAGGTTGCATCAATCGGACATACAGACCATTTTTTGCCACCAATGAATCATGGGTCCCCTCCTCCACTATCCTTCCTCCATTTAGAACTACTATGTTGTCCACGTGCCTCATCATTGCAGCTCTGTGTGCTATTAAAATAGTGGTTTTGTTTCCCATTACTAGGGTGTCTAGAGCCTCTTGCACCACTCGGCTTGACTCAGATTCAATTGATGAACTAGCTTCATCCAGCAACAAAATAGGAGCATTTTTAAGAATTACCCTTGCAATTGCAATTCTCTGTTTTTGTCCAGGGGTTAAGTCAACACCTCTCATCCCAACATGAGTGTCATAACCATGAGGCAAACTACTGATGAAGTGATGAGCATTTGCTATTCTTGCAGCCTCCTTTATTTCAGCTTCACTGGCATTATGTCTGGCATATATGATGTTTTCCCTTATGGTTGTTGAGAAGATAATCGGTTCCTGCTGAACCAGACCAAGGTGGCTCCTCAACCATCTCAAATTATATTGCTTTAAATCCCTCCCATCTAGCAAAACTTGGCCAGAAACTGGATCGTAGAATCTCTCGATCAAAGATATTATTGTGCTCTTCCCTGACCCGGAAACTCCCACTACAGCAATTGTTTGCCCTCCATTGACTTTGAGGCTAAAATTGCTTAATACCAACACTTCTGGCCGGGAAGGATAACAAAAATCAACATTTTTCAACTCAATGCTCCCATATACATTGGGTGGCTTCATTGCTTTGTTATCATCAGGATCAATCTTAGGCACACGATCTATAATTTCAAACACTGATATGAGAGATTTACGTCGCTTAAGTATGTAAGGAGCCAACCCAAAAGGCTCCACAAGGGCAAAGGTAGCAAATGAGAAAACCATGTACTCCTTGAGAGCAGTAGGTGTCTTCACATATCCCTTATTTACACATATTGCAGTGTACCAAAGTAGAAGGGCATTACATGCAAAGAGCAGAAACTGTGAAAAGCCAAATGCAAAACCAATGGCCACTCCATGAAGAAAGCTTTGCTTAAATATTTTATTTAACTGTAACTGGTAGAGTTCCATCACCTTATTACCAGCACAAAATGCAACAACAGTGTAAATATTCCTAACTGCATCTTCAAGAACCAAAGATGCCTTTCTGTGCATTTCTTGTATGCCCTTTGAAAATCCAGCAAGCCATAATTTCTGCAAAATTAAGGAGACTGCTTAACACATGCATCATGCTAACCACAAGCAAATTAATAAAAACATCATTATCCATAGCCAGTATTATCATCAGTCATTCACAAAAGTCAGCAAAACCAGGTCTGTTAGCTATAGTAATTGAAATTAAACATAATCGACATAAATAAGAATTTCCATAAATGAAAATGAAACCCCCATAAAGAGGTATAAGTAGCATTCAATAATTGTACTTTTTATCCTCCAAAGACACTGCCAAATTACAATAATTACAGCCCATTGACTACTCAAGCACAAACAGATACATTACAAATTATAATTGAAATTATCCCAAAGGCACAGATAATTTCAATATAAACTTCTTAAAGCAATCACAATTAAATGTGCTTTAGTGCTTTAGTTTTCAGTATTCGATGAAACGCATGAAACATTGTTTCCAATTTTACAGTGAAATATACACAAATAAATAATACAAAAGAGGGTGACACAGATATAAACTGATACACAAAGTGAAACAGTGTTATTTTTCCTTTTAAACATTAGCAAGTCTTGCACATACACAGACCCCAAGGCATTTCATGGTTTTTGGATTTGTTTTGGTACTCTCACGACATTCATGAGGCAAAGGAGACATTACATTAATTGGTCATAATCACTACCAATTATTCAACTTCCCTAATAATCATCACAGAAAATGGGAAAAAAGATACTGACCAACCCACCACCTTGTGCGAAAACACATGGCTGTTGTTGATATGAAAAAAAATGGAAAATATGAATTTCAAAATAAAAAAAAAAAATTACAGACTGTGTGTTGACATGAAAACGAAATACACAAAATTACATGGCAGAATCAGAAAAGCAGTTGCAAACCTGGGCAACAGCAGAAACACAAAGAACTGGAAGTGTTGCTAAAGCCACAAGTGCTAATCGCCAGTGCAGCAAAACACCAATGAGAAATGCAACAATAACTGCAGCACTGTCCTGTATAAATATGGAAAGGCGGTTACTGAAAGCTGCTCGCACAAACGTAGCATCATTGGCCAAGCGCATTGATAGGTTGTCAGCACTATTTTCCTCTTCATCAAACCATCCAGTTTCATTGCGTAGCATGGCTGCAATGTTATTAAAACAGGTTAAGTATAGGGCAGTAGTCCAATATGATTTTCTTCTAAATAATAACAATTCAAATTTACGCACCTGAGAACATCATTCTCCTAACTCTTTCTGTCATTTTCTCCCCCATAATACCAAAGTAGAAATGCTGTAAAAAGTTGGCAACAACCGTCACAATACCCATGCAGGCAATGATCAAGCACCATTTGTCTATCTCCCTTTGGAAGTGACGTTCTTCATCAATTTTATAGTAATCTGTCACCACCAAACCAATAACATAGGCAAGAAGGGGATTGAAAGAACCAAAGATAGCAGCGCCCGTGCTTCCTAACACAGCATAAAGCCACTCTGCAAAACTAAGTTCTGCTAGCCTCCATATTGAGGGTTGTTTTCGATGCCTCGCATCCTTTGTTTCAGTCATTTTCACCGAAAGATCACCGGAATGACTATCAGGCCTGCTAAAAGTCTGTGAATGGGAGCGTTCATTTTTAGGATCAGATGTTAAAAGGGGTGAAACAGGGGATTCTGGGTCAGAACCATTTGACTTTTGTCTATGCACACATTGAACATCAATCTTGGGTAACTCCGGTAGTCTCATTTCAAAACTATCCTGCCTTTTAATTGATGGTTCCTTGTCTGCTGAATCTAAAGACTGTCCATTTTCCATCATCTTCTCTGATGGTGGGCTCCGAATTTTTGGTGATTCTTGTGAATTAAAAAAGCCATCCGAGGGCCGAAAAAGGGCAGAAACTCTTTGAAGAGAGGGTGACTTTATCATTTTAGGAGATGAAGGTTCTTTGAAGCTGTGACTTTCTGAAGAATCCTTCTCCATTTGGAAAGTTGCAGTCTCCTTATAATTTCGAACAGGCATCCTGGATGACCAAAGAAAAAGTGATTT